TGATTGATTTGCCTATAACAGAAAAAGAAACATGTAAAAGCCTATTTATAAAATCTGTAAAAAATAATTCAAATGTAACAATTAAATTAGATAATGAAAAGTTCATATTATGTAAAAATTCTGTTTTTGAAATTAAAAACCCTTGTAAAATGTTCAATGATATTTCCATTTGTAAGAAACATAATATAGAAGATATTACAGAATCAAATTGTTTACCAAAACTATTACATGGCATGCCATCCAAATGCTCTATAGAAAACATCTACCATCAGTAAATGAAATATCACCTGGAGTAATACTTCTAAACGGTTATAATGGGTCAATATTGGTACAAAATAAGGAAGTCTTATTGCATGGAACCTATATCGTAAAATATCACAACGCCACGATTACCATAGATAAAAAGTCATACGTCAATATGGAAATAACTATGATGAAACCTTTGCCGGCTGTAGTAAAAGCACCCAATACTATAGAAAGATAAGATAAGAAATGTTATCACTAGAAATGCTCAAAGAACTACACATCAACAACGTTGACGAGATTAAAAAGCTAGTTACAAATCATAAAATTGGCATTGGATTGTTCGGACTTTTAACAATGATATTAATATTTGGCATAATGTTAAAATTGATAAGAAGAAAATCTACTTTGGAAATTAAGACCGACGTAAAGCTGGAAACCCCGGTTGAGGCATCAAGTACTTACACGCATTACCCCTCCAACGCGGACGTTGGAATTTAAGAGGGGAAGAGTTAAGAAAAATAAAATTAGCTTGAAGTTAAGAAAAATAAAATTAGCTTGAAAAATAAAATTAGCTTAAGATCACAAAACTAATAGTTCATTTACCTACCTTTTAAATTATAAATTTGCTGACGTTATATCTGCAATTAAAATTCAATTTAATAAACCAAATTTGTCAATTTACAAACTTTATATTTATTAGGAAAAATAAATTTAATGTAAGCAAAATATTGAACAACAGAATTGTAATGTAAGAAGAATAATAAAAATAAATTTCAGTTGCAGTCAAGTACTCAAACAACAAAGTAGTTTAATTTACTTTATCTTATACACTATCGGAAAAAGTAAAGTGCAAAAGTACTCATGCTATATTCTTTCAGCGAAAAATCGGTTAAATGACGATTGAATATGGATTTTTTTTCAAAATCATTAATTTAATATACAATGCTACAAAAATAACAATAAAACTAAATTATTGTACTTAAAATTTTTCTGAATAACATCTAACATTAAAGTAAATTTACTTTTTTGTCGGACAAAATAAAGTGTAAATTTTATATATCATTATTTAAATTTCTTGTATATCAAAACTTTTTATCTATTTTGGTTCTGATTTTAATATTTGGATCTACTTAAGCCATTTTGGTAATTTTTTAACCATTATTATTCGCAATCGCCTTCCTTGCCTTCCCCATATGATTATTTTCAAAAGGAATCCGTTTTTAATCCCTATTTCATGGGAATTTTTTGATCGATTGTGGTCCAAAATTAATCTATTAGATTTAGGGCGGTGCTCTGAGCAACTTATTTAAATTTTACAGTGATTTTTCCTACAGTAATGTTATTTTTTTACTTTATCAAGTGCTTAAGCTTTTTATCTTGCCGAGATATAAAGTTGCCCAAGTCCATTTCGAAGGCCTTGATCTTAAGATTTGACTGTAATATTGCTCACATAGTATTCACTGGGGCTTTTTGAATAAATTTCACCTTGGTTCCGCACACCTAACGTTAAAAGTTGGACACATACGAAGAGTCAACTGACCCATACCTTCAATCTTTCACCTGCTCAGAGCATCGCCCTAAATCCAATAGATTAATTTTTGACCACAATTGATCAAAAAATTCCGCTGAAATAAAACGGATTTCTTTTGAAAATAATAGTATAGGGGAAAGCAAGGGGAAGGGAAGGCGATTGCGAATAATAATGGTAAAAAATTACAAAAATGGCTTGAGTAGATCCAGATGTTCAAATCAGAACCAAAATAGATAAACAATTTTGATATATAAGAAATTTAAATAATGATATATAAAATTTTTTGATATATAAAATTTACACTTTATTTTGTCCGACAAAAAAGTGAATTTACTTTAATTTTAGATGTTATACAGAAAAATTTTAGGTGGAATAAATTTGTTTTATTGTTATTTTTGTAGCATTGTATATAAACTAAATGAATTAAAGAAAATCCATATTCAATAATCATTAAACAGATTTATCACTAAAATAATATAGCATGAGCATTTTTACACTTTATTTTGTCCGATAGTGTAAATATCAATTGTTGCTGTATGTCTTTAAATGTATAAATAATATTGGCCACCACACATTGCAATTGTCAAGGAATCAAACTTCATTTAATACTAGAAATAGTAACAATCTAGCAGTAGCGAGATGTAGACTGGAAATAACAAAACAACGTATTCAATATGTGGGTAGTTGTGAGTTCAACAATTTGCCTCAAAATATAAAACTTGTACAAAGAATTTCAATTTTTAAAAGTTTACTTAAATGTTATTTATAAGATCATATTGAAGAACTTCTTAACTAACATATTTGATTTCAAATTTAAAATTACACTATATTAAATTTTAAATATATGTAAGTTTTATTTCTTGTAAATATTATGTTTTGCCAACTCGCCTCTTTTAATGCCTTTTAGGCGCTGAGGCTTTAAAATTGTAGCTTATGTAAATGATGATTATAAATTAAATGAATACTGAAAAAAATACACAAGTTTTCAATAGTTTTTAATTGTTCACTGACTATTTCTGACAATTCGTCACATTTCGCGTAAATATTGATTTTTTTTTATTTAAATTGGAAACGATATTTCATGGTACGGGGAAGTCTATTTATACATTATTTCAATTTTATATATTTGAACTTATTTTTACCAAAAATTTAATAAAGCTGCAAAATAACATAATTACTCCATTCGGTTGCTTGCCTAAGCATTTCCCCGATACATTCAAAGAACTAAAGAGCAATGCTTCCATTGCACACTTTTTTATGACGCGTAAAAACAGTATTATTTTTATAAAACATTTATAATCTAAGCCTGTGTTTCACTTTGGGTATCTGTTTATTCACAGTTATATTCGTATTATATAAGCCTTCTAAACTTTCTTTAAAAAAATCAAGTTAACTTTTTTTCTAACTTATTATGACTAGCTTCAAAGTAACTCAAAAATGATCGAGGAAATGAACAAATATTTCAATAAAATTGAAAATAAAAAATAAAATAGAAACTCATAACAAATTTGTCAAACAATTTGTATTATGTTAGATGATAGGAGGATGTATAGAACGTCAAATCCGAAGAAATACACCTAGGCCACTATCGGGCCTGTTGTGAGCTCCTTTTTATGAAAAAAAATTGTTCATTGAGTATATTACTTTACAGTGTTCAGACGTAATTCATAAGAATTTGTTAGTGTTAGTCAGGAATGTTATTTCCGGAATGACATCACTTCCAAGATACTTGGATCTAACTTCGACGAATGCTTGATAGTGGCAAAGAAAGTGCTCCAGAGTTGCACTGTCCTCTCCACATGCTCTACATTCGTCTGAATCCGCACGGCCAATTTTGTATAGATGTGCTCGTAATCCTGTGTGTCCACTCATAATACGTACCATCATAATATAACTTAAGACTTGCTCATTTTGAGGAGATTTCTCGTCTTGTTCTCATCAGGGTCAACCCATAGGATCTTTGTGGTTCTACCCACCGTTTCATTATTCCAAGAGGCCTTATGGGATTCTCTCACCCATATTTTTAATTCAGCTTTTGTTGCGTCGAATGGCTTTGCGTTTGTCAGGTTAACTACTTCGAGCTCCCTTCCCTTTAAAGCTATTACATTCGCCTTTCGCTGCCGACTACTCCCGAGTGTCCTGGTACCCATAAGATAAAAACCTTACCTCTGGAGAGTATTCAGTTAAAGCTTTCTTACAATCCAATACGGTCTTAGATTTAATTCTATCACCTGATATCGCCCTAATTTCCTTCTGGCTGTCGGTGAATATATTATATATTTATTCTAATCCAATTTACACATTCCGTTATTGCTCGGACTTCTGCCTGGAAGCTTGTGTTATGATTAGGTAAACGGTGGTATATTTCTGTTTCTGGGTCTTTAATATAGAACCCCAGGCACAATTTATAGCCATCCGTATAACACTGGATTCCTACTGGTATTAGCTCTAATGTTCCGCTTGACCAAGACATTCTATCTGGGATCAGCGTTTCAAAGTTTCCGACATATTTTGTGTCTGGTATGCGATCAGGCACGTCCGATGATTGTGTATAACCTTCCATCCATATCTTAAATATGTTTCAATGGGTGGAATATCTAGCAACGATTCCAGAGCTTTGGTTGAAGTAGTACATTTGACACCACTTATACCTAAGCAGCATGTACGCTGAACTTCCTGTAGTAGTTTGATATTACACCTTTTGTCCAAAGCAGTCCACCAGATTATTGAAGCATAAGCTATAATTGGTCTAATTGCACTTTTATAAAGCCAATTTTTCATAGTAGGACAAATTGGCTTTATAGTAGGACATTTCATGCCTACAGTTCTCCTTCATGCCTATATTCATGAAAAATGAATTTGTTATTAAAAAAATTTACATTTTCAGCTAACTCATTATGAGGTTATTTCAAAATGATGTATAGTGAGTGAGTACTGACTCGTTCCTATGACATTATATTGAAAAACTGAATAGTATTTTATAAGCAAAATGTTAAGATCACAGAGTGCACGTAAGACCTCACATTGCGATATAATTGTTATCCTGTTGAAGGAATAAATAGAAATAGATTTTGATTTTAAAATCCATAATTCAATAATTTTTTCCGAAATAAAACTTTTATTAATTCAAAAATATAACTATATACAATGACAAATATAATAATCTAATATTTTAAATTATTTGCTTTAAATGTTTTATTTTGAATGTTTTCTTTATTTTCAGAAAATGGATACCCCACGAACAGTTGGAGAAAGTGATATGACCGATATTACAGAAATTGACGAGATTGGAATAAATAATAATCTTAAACTTCGTTATGAAAACGAGATTATATATGTATCCTTTTCTATTTAAAAAAATGTTATATATCGAGCTCCATAAAGTCATATTTTTATATATCGGATTATCCTGTGAAAAAATAATTTCTGTGCTTGTTGAAATAATACACGTGAGAGATGGCAACCGGTATTTTAAAACAGCACAAAACTGTACTGTTTGTACTATTTTTATTTAAAAACTATGGATAAGTAAAATTCCATAAACAATTCCGGAAGTAAATTTTATGTTTTTTTTTTTTTTTTTAATTATTTGAAAGTGAAATTGTAGTATTATAAAATATAACTAATTTGATTTAAATAATATTAACATAAGTAAAGGAATTTAATATAAAAACCCAAAATAAAAATTTTTTAACTCAAAAAATTTCAGTACAAAAAAATATCAGGCCAATTATAAACAATTATTCCCTGGGAGTTTGTTCCCTTTTGGGTGCTTTAGGTGTAGATATAGGGAAGAAACTACCAGGGAATTTATTATTCAGAATAGGCCTGTATATCTTCAGTTTTAAGAAAATGGAAAATGAGTTAGTAAACATCACTTCCACAGATGGTAAAAAATGCACTTAGTTTTTTGCTGGGAGTAAATAGTAGGGTATTCAAACAATTAAACGTCGCATAGACAGCCGTTTTGGCTGAAAACTTGGCCAAAATTATTAGAAGTGTTTTTGAGTTAATGGCTGGATTTTTTGATAGTGTTAGTTATGCCCAAGCATAAACCCAACTGAATCGGATCACATTTAATCCTAGTTCCCATATCAAGCCCCCCTTAAAAATTTACTTTAACGCTCATAAATAGCTTAAAAACATTGATTTCGTGATAAAATTTGACACGAACGTATTTTATGTAAATCATAATTAAATTACCAAATGTTGTTATGGTCGGTCCAGAATCAAGGTCCAAAATAAGAAAATCAGTTTTAAAATTATAATTAACTTAAAAATAGTAGTACTGCAATGAAATTTAACGTAAATGTGAATCATTTTACCAAGTTTTATTATGATCGGTCCATAAGAGGAAGAAAATTGAAAGTAAAATTAACGTGACCGTTTCGAAAAAATGAATTTTACGCGGAGCATACTAACTGCGTAACTTCAATATGTATACCAAAATATATGTATGTATACCTATCTAACATTTTTAAAATTTTACAGGAGAAGCAAAAAACTATTGGAATTGAAAAGTTTGGTTCTATCAACCCGATTTATTTGTAGTGAATAAACAAATTGTTTAATAGTGAAAACTATCAGTTGTTATGATAGTTGGCAATGACGTATATAACAAATAAGAGTGCTATATTCGGCTGTACCGAATCTTATATACCCTTCACCATAGTGTATTTAATAAATATCAATTTCATAAAATTTATATTTATTTCATTTTCCCGACTAGATACATATATCATTATTATAGCAATAGCAAAACAAAATGAACAACAACAATGCTAAACAAAATAACCACACAAAAAACAAAATACACAAGGCAGTAAAACCAACAGCATCCAAACATACGAAACTGAATACACCAAGAAACAAAAACAATATTCAGAAGACAATGAATGAAACACACAGGCATCCAAACATACGAAATGAAAAAAAAAACAAAATACACAACGCAATGAAACCAACAGACATCCAAACATACGAAACTGAATACACCAAGAAACAAAAACAATATACACAAGGCAATGAAACACACAACCATCCAAACCTATGAAACGAAATACTCAATGAATAAGCAGTGCTGTTGTTGTTGCTTATATCAAAGCATGAAAAAAATTGTCTTTTTTATGAAATTTTCAGAGGTTGTCTCGGATTTTGCTGATTTTAAATAGCGATCTTCTCGAAAGCATGTCTAACAGAATTATTGAAGATTCGGATGTCGCCGATATCTGGGGACCTCTAAAAACTGATTTCAACAAACACACAGACGGACAGACAGACAGACAGACGGACATAGCTTAATCAACTAATATATACCCAGCAAAAAAAGACGTGCAAAAAAAGTAGTAAATGCATGGGTTGAACTGATAATGAACTGGTTCATATTTAGGGGAAACATGCATGATTTTAACATTAGCGTGTCATTGGCATGCATGGGTTCGTATTTGCAAAAATAGTTCGTCATTTAAATGAGTTCTTATAACCAATGAATATTCGATGATTCTCAAGCGAATTTTCATTGGTGCACTATATTTATTTAAAAATGCATTAATGGTATTTCGATTTAATTATCAATATTTAAATAATTTTTTTGCGTGATATTGATAAAAATAGAATAAGATAAAACATAACTAACTGATTTTGATTGGATTTAAATTCATGCAGAGGAAAAATACCCATTGTGTTTTAAAATCCTTTAAGCAGTCTTGGTTTTTTCCTTCTCTTATTAATGGACTTAATATTACTAATTTTAATGGACTTAATATTACTAATTTTAACAAAAATCTAATAAAAAATTAATGTAATTTTTAATCTTTATTGTATGAAATGCATGTTTTCGTTAAATCTCCTAAGAGAATACCAAATTACAGTAAAATATTACAATTCCTATAGTGGAGTTACATGAGTGAATTTGGGTTCATTTTTCATGCCTTCACTGATGACAAATTTATTAGAATTTAGGCATGTATTTAAAACGCATTAAATAGAATACTTACTAAAGAAACCATGAAAATATCCCTTCTTCTTTAACAACTTTTTTGCTGGGTATATACTTTATGGGGTCGGAATTTTATATTATAGAAATTATATATACCCTTCTCACGAAGGTGAAGGGTATAAAAATGGATAAATTGGACTTTTTACCTTTAATATTTAAATGTTTTTCTAGATAGGGCCTTTTGTTTTTGCCAATAAAATCGCTAATTTTGGTCGGAGGAGTCCAATTTTTTGTGTGAACATTTGTTTGAATTTTTGGTTAGTTAGGGCCGTTTGCGTTTTAGGTGACGATATGATCTTATAGAGTAAACCATGGCGAAACTAATAAGGTGAAGTCATTTCAACAGCTGATTGTTTTTTTGTCCATGGAAATTTAGCCCGAAGTTGTCAAACTCAATATAAAAAAAATTCTCTCTCAAACCCGACGCTGTCGAACTACATATATAAAAAATTTCATGAATTCGCCGCAAAATGAAATGACTTCACCTTATAGTCTATTCGCATTGGAGTAAACTCTACAAGCAAGGCGAATTCGTATTATTTAGAAGAAAAAATTTGTTGCGGCAACAATCATATTCGTATTGCGGAAGATAATCCCTTCGGGAGAGTTTGTGCGTCAGAGGCGAAACTTCTAAGCAATACGAAAGCAATTCTTCTAGAAGTTAAAAAAGTAAAATTATTAGATAATCACCTAGGAGAAAAATTTAAGATATCTTCTGATAATCTTCTGGATGATAAATATATGATATCGCTAGATTATCTTTATTGAGAAATATTAAAATATCTTTAAAGTTACAATTTAAAATGCTTTTTATAATCAATTAATTGAAAAATTACAATAACATTATAACATAGCATTCTTAACACTGCAATATTCTTCCGCAGAAAAATGTTGGCCTTTCCAAAAGATATTCCCCACAGGAAATGTTTTCGTTTTCTTGAATAAAGGCTGAAAACATGGTGGAATAATTGTTAATTATTGGAAGATACATAATACGAAAACGAATACTTACCTTATTAAAGAAAAATTTTCACTTTTATCCTTATTTTTAGCTTCCAAAAGATATTCCCCACAGGAAATGTTTTCGTTTTCTTGAATAAAGGCTGAAAACATTGTGGAATAATTGTTAATTATTGGAAGATACATAATACGAAAACGAATACTTACCTTATTAAAGAAAAATTTTCACTTTTATCCTTATTTTTAGCTTATATTAATTTACAATTTTTTCCCAATATATAAATTTTTTTTTATAAAATATTTTATATTATTTTATCGTCGAAATTATTTTTGATGACTTTCTTCCAAATGATAAAATACAGATATTGCTTCTATATCTTCTATGGAAGATATCTTTCTAATGTTTGTAGGGAAAAGTTTAGGAACTAATATCCTTTTCCGCTAGTAGTATGTATTAGAATATAATATACAATGGAAAATAACTTTTATGCATATTTTATATAAAATAGGAAAAAATTTACAAAAACCTAATGAAGAGGGGTACAAGATAACAATAAAGTTTACAATAGTAAATTAATAATAGTGTTATGAGATCAATTCATTAATATGACTATGTTGAGAGTTTTGACATCTGTTATTGTAGCTTAGCCTCAACTTTCGAGTTTGTCCTGTATGAGATTGAATCCGAAATAGAATGCAGGCGTCGAGTGGAATAGTGCCACGGTAGGTTAAGGTGACATTTAGCCGAGATGGACCATACTGGAGAAATATAGATTTTAATATAAGTTTTTTGTTGTCTACATTGAGCTCTGAATTTCTGTTTATGAAGGGATTCATAATTCTGGTAATTTTATTACTTTTTAAATGACGTATCGAAGATAAAAAAATTCCTATCCAAAACTCATGTCCAACAGGAAGCTATGATCGATGACACCGGCAGGAGGCTGGAGGATATGGAGGAGACAATGAAACTCATAATGGACTCTCATTTCTCACCCGGTATATCGAATAACATAGATGAACCGATATTGATGGAAGGGGAGGGTAACACGGAAATAGTTATTACATCTGACATGGTTAAAGGGGCAATCAAGAGCTTTGCTCCCTATAAAGCTGCAGGGCCGGCACTTTTGCAGAAGGAGGCGGGACTGGTTTCAGTACATCTGTCACAGATATTCACTGCATGCTTGAAATTGACATATACGCCAGTTAAATGGCAGGATGCAAGGGTAATATTTATACCCAAACCAGGGAAACCTAGCTATGCGACACCTAAGTCCTATCGACCGATAAGTCTTACGTCCTTCCTACTAAAAACCTTGGAACGGATAGTCGATAGCATGGTTAGAAGCAGTATACCATACAAAGACCTTAAATAT